AAAGTAAAAAGGCACCACATTGTTGTTTGGCGGGTCCGGGCTGGGGATTCGAACCCGCCACCTTAGGTGTACGTGGCTGGCGCCTTAGCCGGTTGAGCTATAGGCGCCATAGGCGCCGAGCTGACTTTTTTTTTTGAGACAGAGCCTCAAGCTGTCCCCCTGCGTAGATTGCCATAACATCACAGCTCACAGCAACCTCCAACTCCTGGGCTCAACCGAGTCTCCTGCATCAGCCTCCCAAGTAGCTGGGACCACAGGCGCCCGCTACAGGCCTGGCTATTTTTTTGGTTGTAGCCGCCACTGTTGTTTGGCGGGCCTGGGCTGGATTCAAACCCGCCACCTTAGGTGTATATGGCTGGCGCCTTTAGCCGCTTGAGCCACAGGCAATGAGCCAATAGACTATTTTTAATAACATATAGAAATGTCAGGTGGAAAAATCAACAAGGAATCAGGGAGAACCTGAATAACATTAAAACCAATTACAGGCTTGGTGGCTATAGCTCAGCGTCTAGGGCGCTAGTCACATATACCAGAGTTGGTGGGTTTGAACCCAGTCTGGGCCTGCCAAACAATAATGACAATTACAAACAAAGAAACAGCCAGGCGTTGTGGCAGGTGCCTATAGTCCCAGCTACTTGGGAGGCTGAGGCAAGAGAATCACTTTAAGCCCAAGAGTTTGAGGTTGCTGTGAGCTGTGATGCCACAGTACTCTACCCAGGGCGACAGCTTGAGATTCTGTCTCAAAAAACAAAATAAACAAAAAAACTCATTACTCAATAACAAAAGCAACTCAATTCTGGTGTGTAGTACATGCCTGTAGTCCTAGCCGCGTAGGACACTAAAGCAGGAGGATTTCTTGAGCCTAGCAGTATGAAGTTGCTACGAGCTAGGCTGAGGCCATGGCACCCTAGCTTGAGTGACAGAGTCTGTCTCCAAAAAATACTTGGATATTTCTGTGCTTAAATATGGTAAAAACTAGGCTGGGTATGATAGTTCATGCCTGTAATCACAACACTCTAGGAGGCTGAGGTGGGCTAATCTCCTGAGCTACAGTGAGACTCCATCTCTAAAAACAGCCAGGCACTGTGGTGGGCGCCTGGAGTCCCAGCTACTTGGAGGCTGAGGCAAGAGAATTGCTTGAGCCAAGAGTCTGAGGTTGCTCTAAGCTATGATACTATAGCACTCTACCGAGGGTGACAAAGTAAAACTCTTCTTTCAAAAACAAAGCAAAACAATAAAAAAAAAAAAAACCTGCAAATTTTGTTTTAAACATATATAAAAAACATCAATTTAGGCTTGGCACCCATAGCTCAGTAGTTAAGAGTGTCGGTGATGGGTTTGAACCCGGCCTAGACCTGCTAAACAGTAACGACAACTACAACAAAAAAAAAACAGCCAAAAAAATAGTGGTCCCAGCTGCTTGGGATGCTGAGGCAAGAGAATCAATCACTTAAGCCTAAGAGTTTGAGGTTGCTGTGAGCTGTGATGTCACAGCACTCTACCCAGGGCAATAGCTTGAGACTCTGTCTCAAAAAAGAAAAAACAACCCCCCCCCCACAAATATAAATTTGTAAAATAAAGAAAATTTAGTTAGCATCATTATTTTATTTTTTAGAGATCGGGTCTTGCTATGTTGCCCAGGCTTGAGTATAATGGTATTCACAAGCGCACAATCCCACTACTGATTAGCACCAGAGTTTTGACCTGCTCCGTTTCTGACCTGGGCCACCTGGTGGCCTCCCTGCTCCAGGGAAGTCACCATATTTACTAGTGACAAATTTATTTATTATTTATTTATTTTTAAGACAGAGCTTCAAGCTAGCACCCTGGTTAGAGTGCTGTGACATCACAGCTCACAGCAACCTCCAACTCCTGGGCTCAAGTGATTTTCCTGCCTCCGCCTCCCAAGTAGCTGGGACTACAGGCTCCTGTCACAACGCCTGGCTATTTTTCAGTTGCAGCTGTCACTGTTGTTTGGCGGGTCCGGGCTAGATTTGAACCCGCCAGCTCAGGTGTATGTGGCTGGAGCCTTAGCCGCTTGAGCCACAGGTGCCAAGCCACTAATGCCAAATTTAGTGTGGATACCTGATAAGCATAGCATACTTCAGCGAAGAACTCCTGGACTCAAGCTATCCTCCTGCCCCAGCCTCCAGAGTAGCTGGGATTATAGCATGTGCTACTGTGTCTGGTGACATAAACAAAATTTAGAATTGGATGATGTATTAGGAATTAACTATTTCAAATCTTGCATTTTATGGATAAGGCAACTGAAGCCCAGAGAAGTAAAGTTTTTATTTACATAGATGGGACTAAAACCTATGTCTTTTGAAACCTAATTATGTGGTTTCTTCATCTCACCCAACTATAGGAAAGATTTTGACACCTGGGTGGCACCTGTGGCTCAGTGGGTAGGGCATTGGCATCATATACTGAGGGTGTCGGGTTCAAACCCAGCCCTGGCCAAACTGCAATTAAAAAAAAAAGAAAGCCAGGTGTTCTGGTGGGTGCCTGTAGTCCCAGCTACACAGGATGCTGAGGCAAGAGAACTGCCTAAGCCCAGGACCTGGAGGTTGCTGTGAGCTGTGACACCATGGCATTCTACAGAGAATGATTAAAAAAAATAAATAAGTAAAAATGAAATAAAAAAAAGATTTTGACACCATTTTAGTGAGCAAAGCTATAGGAGGCAGAGATAAAAGTTGAAATCTTAGGCTCAGCGCCTGTGGCTCAAGTGGCTAAAGTGCCAGCCACATACACCTAAGGTGGTGGGTTTGAATCCAGCCCGGGCCGCCAAAACAACAATGACGGCTGCAACCAAAAAAAACAGCCAGGCACTGTGGTGAGCGCCTGTGGTCCCAGCTACTTGGGAGGCTGATGCAGGAGACTTGCTTGAGCCCAGGAGTTGGAGGTTGCTGTGAGCTGTGATGCCACAACACTCTACCAAAGGGGATAGCTTGAGGCTCTGTCTCAAAAAAAAAAAAATCTTAAATAACAAGATTTAATGCCCTACATAAAAAAATTATAATACTTTAAATACAAGCTGAAAGTACCAATTTATAAGTGCAAAGCAAAAACCTAACAATGAGGAAAAGACAATAAATACTGTCTTTAAAGTTTCTGAGAGGCCATCTGCAGACTAACCTTGGCTGTTGTTCCTCTTTGACCTTGTATCATATACAAAATTCTATCTTACATAAATAATATATCTTTAAAAAAAACAACACATTTTAATCTAATGTTTTTTTTTTTTTGAGACAGAGCCTCAAGCTGTCCTCCTGGGCAGAGTGCCGTGGCATTATAGCTCACAGCAACCTCCAACTCCTGGGCTCAAGTGACTCTCCTGCCTCCGCCTCCCAAGTAGCTGGGACCACAGGCGCCGGCCACATCACCCAGCTATTTTTTGGTTGCAGCTGTCATTGTTGTTTGGTGGGTCCAGGCTGGGGATTCAAACCTGCCACCTTAGGTGTACGTGGTGGCGTCTTAGCCAGTTGAGCTATAGGCGCCGAGCCTACATTTACTATTGTTTTGCCACAGAATACTTTCCTGTATGGGCCCATATTTTTAAGGTATTATCTTTGGAGGTTGCAAATAAAGTTTACTTTAAGGAGAGAAATTTTTATTACGTACCTTTCTAAGTTATCAAGCTGAAGTAAATAAAGCCTATCTTAATATAAATAATAAAACTTATATAATATGAAAACTAAAATAACCAAACTAACCCAGTTCCAAGAATTAGCTATCTAACAGGAAAAAAATCAAAAATAACTTGCTTGATTAGAATGATTTTGTAAGCTGAAACATACAATTTATAACAAATGATCAAAAGCACAGAAAGGTTTTTATTCTAATGGGAATAAAAGCAGGAAGAAAATGTAGCATTTTTTTAAAAAGCAAAAATAATTTTTAGAATTGATAAAATACAACTTAACTCACTCTTTGATATCACGGAGCTGATCAACATCTTGTGATCTTGTAAAGTCTGGATCGTGCGCTAGCAGGTGAATCATGTATGGAACTACATACTCAGGCAACAGTGATAGTAATTTCTCTAAAGTGAAAACATCAACAACAGCTTTTATAACATCCTTCCTGGGTTTGTGTTCTTACCACTTACATTTCCATTTTCCTCCCACTTATTCCTAAATTAGAGGCAACGTGGTAAATAAGTACTGGAAATTTTTTTCAATTTTGATAGGTATTAAGGCCAAAAAGATAAATGGTTTAACTAGTGAGTCCCTGGCAAAACTAGAAAAAATAATTATTTACTTTGACACTGAGCAATGTGCTCAAATCAAAGCACACTGGTGCTTCCATAAGAAAAATATGGCTACCCAAAACAGTTCTATGTAGTATAAAGAGGCCTCAGGATTTCAGTTTTTAAATGCACCATAATGACAATGACAGTATTCCATAAAACTCCTAGTTTTATTATAAGCTATAATAGAAATATATGAAAAAACACTGATATATTCACAAGATGTATTTTTCGAAGATACTTACCAGTAGCCATTGGGTTCTGCTTTATGTATTCTCTGCGTATACTGATATTTTTTAGCAGACACTGTCGTGCATGTGCTCTTCTCTCCTTCACAGGATCTTTGGCACACAAGGCAAAGATCGCCATGTACTCCAAGGGGAGCAGTAACTTCACAAGTGCTTTATGCAGCTTCTGAGCGAATATCTGCCTTACCTGGTAACATTCATCCTACACCAGCACAAAAACAAAAACACTTAAACTGGCTAACATTTAATAAAAAGGAAGCACTTTAAGTATTTCCATGTATCCTTCATTCAAATAATACTGTTGGGGGAATAAATAATATTTGAGAAATATCTAGCTGAAGAGGCAGTAACAATCCCTTTTGCACATCCATACAGTAAATTAATTTGTATCTACAGAAATTAAATTGTATTTAACTTTGAATCATGATTGTTACTTACATTAATAACGAGTGCACAGAGCTGAAACTGTTCTGGGGTAATAATTTCATGGTAACAAGGTTCCTGAGCAAGCTTCATTATGGCACTACCAGCAGCTAATCGCAAGCGAGACATATCAGATTTACTATGAACAAACAAAAAAGAAATAAACATTTTCTATAAACATTATCATTCATAAAAATGCTCTGATCCTTTTTTGAATGAAAAGTCCTTAGAGCAGTGGTTCTAAACCTTCCTAATGCCACAGCCCTTTAATACAGTTCCTGTGGATCGTGACCCACAGGTTGAGAACTGCTGCCTTAGAGGATAATTTTTACTTAAAATGCTGTAATATATAAAAATCAGAAAGCTACCTTGAGTCCATGAAGTCAACACAGGGGAGAAGTCTCAAATCATTGTGATTTTCTGACAACAAACTTAAGGGCCTAGCGATTCCCTAGCTTAGATACTCCACCACAGCCAAGAAACTCTGCTTGCTCTTGAAGCAAACTAATTGCAGTGCTACGAAGAACCATTTCTATTAGGAACTCTATCCCTCATTTTAAGATGAATATTCATTGTAGAAAATTTGAGTTTTAAAAACCCCAAAGAATTGTAACACCTACCACCATCTAAAATCTATTTCCTACAAATTTTGTTATGACTACACTATACATACATAACAGACACAGAGCTTAATCCCACACATGGCTGCTGAAAAGGCAGGGCCACAGTTAGAAGGGAAGAGATATCAGACAAATACTCAAAAAGATATGAAGGGAAGAGCTAGTCTCTGTTTTGGGTGGGTATTATCTGTTATAGGCCTACTCTATTTGTAGAATGAAGTTTTCAAATGGAATCTATGAGCCTTGGCCGTCCCATCCCATGCTATGGATTTTTATTACCTGAATGGCAACATGTGACAATGAATGCTGGGGAAAGGGAGACGTTCTACTTTAACTTCTACATGGAAGTTTTTTATGGCTTTTATATTTTGATGACTTTAGGAAATGGACGAAAGTAGCCTGAACCCAGTGGGGCTATTGCTAGCATAAAAGAGGAGAAAATCCGGCTCTCTGAGGTAACAGGATTGTTGACAGAAGTACTGATAACAATGAGTGGTCCACAAATGGCTTCTGAGGCAGATGACCCGCCACTAAGTGAGTGCTTTCTCTGTGGCAGGCTACCTCAATTAATTTTTACTCTTATGAGAAAATTGAGGCTTAGAAAAAGGTAAGTGTTTCAAATAAGTTCACGAATGGAGTGTAGAGCTGTGTAAGTTTCTAATTCTAGACCCCAAGCTAACAATGTGCTATATATAATTTCATATGGGTGGTGTTCCATAGTTTACCATTTTCCTATTTTTTTGTGTGTACATTTTCCTATGATTATTTTATTACTTCATGAGTGTAAAAAGTCAGAAACATTTTTAATGATCTAGATACAGAATGCCAAATAGTCCTGCAAAGATTATGCCAATTTATACTCACATGGGTAAGGGGCAAACTCATTTACAAAATCCCATTAAAATTTTTTCTCCACTAATTTGACAGGCAAAAAGAAGTATCACTTAGATTTGAATTATATTTGTTGCATTAAGTGATATTAAACTTTTTCAGGTAAACTGATAAGATATAGTTATCATCTCTATTTGAGATTCTGACTGTCACTGATTTATAAGAGCTCATTATTATGACTTTGTCATATGCTATATTTAAAGTTTTATATCATCCCTAACTTAGTTGTAATCATCAGTCTGTAATCACCAATCATTATTTATTCTGTGACATAAATAATTTCTATGGTTTTCTTCAATTTACCAGAGTATTACCTATTGTAAATGCCCATATGCCTTCGAGACTCCACTAGACTGCACATTCCATGGGAGCAAGGACTTTTGTATCTTTAAGTAATGCTACGGTCAGGGGTGGTAGGTGTGCCTGTCCCAGTTTCTTGGAAGGCAGAAGTGGGAGGACTGCTTGAGCCCAGGAGTTTGAGGCCAAGACTTGGCAACATAATGAGACTTCATCTCTAATAATAAAAATAACAATGATAATATAAAAAATGAAAAATAAATAACATGACAGTGCTTAGTATCTGATAATGCCCAACAAATACTGAATGCATAAATGAATGATTAAACCTCTGTCCTCTAACACAAATTTCCAAAGAGGAATATGGCTGGGCATGGTGCTTCATGCCTGTAATCCTAGCTCTTTAAGACACTGAGGCAGACGAATCAACTGAGGCCAGGAATTGGAGACCAGCCTAGACAACACAGCAAGAACCCATCTCTACACAACATTAAAAAAAAATTTGCCAAGTGTGGTGGCACACACCTACAGCACTAGCTACTTGGGTGGCTGAGGTGGGGAATACTGCTTGAGCCCCAACATTCAAGGCTGCAGTGAGAAATTATGTCACTGAACTCCAGCTAGGGTAATAAGAGTGAGAACTGTCTCAAAAAAAGGGAATGTATCAGCTGGGCGTGGTGACTTATGCCTGTAATCCTAGCACTCTGGGAGGCTGAGGCACGTGGATTGCCAGAGCTCACAGACTGCCCTGAGCTACAGTGAGACCTTATCTCTAAAAAAAATAGCTGGACGTTTTGATAATGCCCTATAGTCCCAGCTCCTTGGGAGGCTGAGGCAAGGGAATCACCTGAGCCCAAGAGTCTGACGTTGCTGTGAGCTATGATGCCACAGCACTCTACCAAGGGCGACAAAGTGAGACTCTGTCTTAAAAAAAAAAAAAAAAAAAAAAAAAAGCAACAAAAATAAAAATTTTTTTTTTTTTTTTTTTTTTGAGACAGAGCCTCAAGGCTGTCCCCCTGGGTAGAGTGCCATGGCATCACAGCTCAAAGCAACCTCCAACTCCTGGGCTCAAGCGAGTCTCCTGCCTCAGCTTCCCAAGTAGCTGGGACCACAGGCACCCACCACAACGCCCGGCCATTTTTTGGTTGCAGCCATCATTGTTGTCTGGCGGGCCCGGGCTGGGGATTCGAACCCGCCACCTTAGGTGTACGTGGCTGGCGCCTTAGCCGCTTGAGCCACAGGCGCCGAGCCACAATTAGAATTTTTTAGTTATCTCCATTGGTGCTCTTGACCTCTAGTAAATCCAGGATTTGAAACAAACAAGGATCATGAAAAATTGAGGTTTTGTTTCCATCTTAAAAGGAATAAAAATAAGATGGCAATTTTACAGATTTGAGAGTGAAAATGTGTAGAAATGTTAATTTTCTTTTTCTGCATTTGTAGAACTATGAAGAGACTCTGTCTCTCCCTTCTTTGAACCACCAGTCAAAGAGTCCTTTCATGTCATTCAGGTTATTCCACTTATTTAATCACTATACTACAGGGTAAGTTCCTTGAAGGCAGGGACTTCTGTTTTTGTAACATGCTATTCATAGTATTTTGCAAAGAGTAGAAATTCAAAAAATATTTAATTGAGCAAAAATGCTGATACAGTAACATTAGACTACAGTAATTATAACTAAATATTTACTTCAAAAAATTCATAGGCTTGGTGCCTGTAACTCAGTGGCTAGGGTGCTGGCCACATACACTGAAGTTGGCGGGTTCAAACCAGCCCGGGGCCTGCCAAACAACAACTACAACAAAAAAATAGCCGGACACTGTGGTAGATGCCTGTAGTCCCAGCGACTTGGGAGGCTGAGGCAAGAGAATCTCTTAAGCCCAAAGAATTTGATGTTGCTTTGAGTTGTGATGCCATGGCACCATGGCACTCTAATGAGGAGGACATAGTAAGACTGTTTCCAAAAAAAAAAAAAAAAAAAATTACAGTTTTTAGAAGTGAAGAATAATATACTAGCTCTACTAAAATAAAAATACCATAAGAGATAAACCTTGGGTATATGAAATTTAATTCCAGAGCATATGATGATTTCACAACAATTAGTATTGATTAGGTAAATAATTCCTATTTAACTCTACTAAAATTTCAGAAAACTGGAATGTAAGAAAAATCTCACCTGATCCTTTTTTGCTCTGTCAGGTCACCCTCACTAACCAACATCGCTGACAATAACCGAAGAGTTGAATTGGCAGATTTAGACTGGTTGTTTTTCATACCCAACAGCCACCTTACCAGAAGTTTAATTGCCTGTACCTATAAAATATTAACATGCTGAAAAAAGAGAGCAACTTAAAATTCTAATTAAAGGGAAGATCAATTTCTATTAAGTAGCTTAATGAGATTATTTATCCACATTAGTTGGCATTAATATTTTATTAAACAAGTTCTATGGGATAATTAACAGTAACAGTAACAACTATGTACTCTGCATTTAATCTGTACCAGGCAGTTTTTACACAGCTAGACATGTATTAACTTACTTAATATCCAAAAAAATTCTATGAGAGAGGTAATCCTTGTTGTTCAACAAAACTGAGATAACACAGCTGAGACCTATCAGTGTAATAGGTAACTTGCTCATAGTATGGATATAGAATTAGGGCTTTTCACATTTAAATACTTATCCAAGATTTTTAAATTATCCAAAAACTACTTTATATTGATTAAAATAACAGTCTTTCGTATTTTTTTTGAGAAATGAAAAACTACTTTGAAGAAATACTAAGTTTGATTCTGTGTCACTTAACATTCTGACCATATTGTTTGGAGTCATAATTACTTGGAAAACTCCACAGAGAAGATTGTTATCAGCATGTGTGAAAAAACTGACCAAACACCTAAGTATTACTCACTGTAATTACTGACAACCCGGAAAGAGGAATTGATAGAATTTATGAAGGCAATGATGCTACACAAAGTAAAACATTATCAACTCACCACTTTAAAAATCAGTTTACTGAGGTTTAATTTATAGATATCAAATGTCACCAATTTGGTGACAAATCAATTATCCTGGCCAAATTAATATTCATATGTTTGTAGACAGTGGTGGTAGAGCTAGGGGTGAGCTGCTTTGAGCACCAAAATTTTACAAATAATCTCTGTAAATGCCAACCTCATTGAGACTGTTTTAGCAGGCAAAAGACACTGATGTACATATATAAAATAAGTAATAATAAGTACAGTTTCTCTGAGAAACAACTTTTCATTATGGATTTTTAAATAAAGTATTTCATTTAAAAAAATGCTTGTTGACTATTAGGTCAAGAAAAAAAAAGAGAGGTGCTGCCCCATATGCTGGAGGTGGGGGAGGGGGAAGATGCCTATAAATATTCCTTTTTTCAACCTAAAGGTTATTAAGACCTATACAAATTTACCTTTGCCAGTACTTCAGGGGAAACTTCTTCATCTGGAGACCATAATTTTCCATTCTTCTCACCTGTAGACTTTAGAGAATTGAACAAATTCAGCTTATAGAAAGAAAAAAAATTTAAGTTTTTGCTTATTAAGTTTTCATGCTAATTAACACAGGCTCCAAGAAACCTATGGGAAAGTCACAAACTGGAACTTAGAAAAGAAGAAAGTTAGAAGACTTATACCTTCCAGTTTTGAAACTTACTATTCAAGGCAGTGTGCTAGCAGCATAAGAACAAACATACTGACCAATGGAGCAGAACAGAGAACCCCGAAAACACTTGCATACACAGTAAATTTGTTTTTGATAAGGGCGCCAAGATCAATATTTGGGGAAAACAACAGTCCCTTTAACAAATGAGGCTGGAAAAACAGGATATCTACAAGCAAAAGAAGGAAGCT